ATAGGGCTAATAAAGTGATCTTATCTTATCTCACAAGTTTTCTCTAAACCCAGGTGTAATGGATGCACAAGAAACAATTGAACTCAGACAGAATGACATACCTGCAATACCAAGTGCCAGTCAGGGGGCTGGACTTACAGATTTACACACTCTTTAAAGAATAATGTACAGAACAATTCCAAAAGAAACATTAGAGCAAAATGTGTCGATCTATAATGCCATCATTTCCTGAGCTTATTTACTTTCTAAGTGGTGCAGCTACTGCACCTATTCTTTCACAGCAGCTAAACACATTTAAATATTAAAATAGTCTTTATTGCTGCTGGATCTGGACCTTTAGCTGCATTACTTCAGTACCTTTATCGATCTTAAAGAACCTATTAGCCATTTATTGTTTTAAACTGTATGCAACTGTAGAGAGCTCCTGATAAGGGCACCTGCTAAGCAGATAATTAATACACCACAAAAAAAACTCCTTCCCAGAAGAGAACAGCTGAGTTTCTGATTCTGGGAAGTTTAGTCTAATTGTATTCCATTATTGGTCTTAAACAAAACTGCACAAGAACATTCAAAAACATTTTATTTCCCAATGACAAAACTATCATTGGGAAAGCTGCACCTGCACCTTTTCCCACTACTCTCTTCTGTTTTTATTCCACTAACAAAAGATAAAAGGTGGTAAACTGTGATCTCACCCTTGTGCAACAGTGTCCTGGGCAAAACTAAGGAATACAAATAACATATACAGTTTTTATTTAAGAAGATTTAGTCAAATGAGAATAAATTCCCATTTCCATACTATATATTGACCATGTCAGGCATATGAGCTATGAACTCTAAAAATAAATATGTTGGTTAAATGCCTTATATATTAAATTCCTTCTGAAAGTTGTTATGAATATCAAATGCAACCACAGGAACTAAAATGTCCTGGAAAACTGCATCAGAATAGGCACATTACTGTTTGCCTGATTGTATTAACATTTTAAATATTCTGCAATTAAATTTAAAAGAATGACAGAACAAGAGCACATAAAATGATCATACTCATTAGGGTTCTAGAAGGCTGCTGCTCATTGTACAATAGGGTGAATCAGAGATCAGCAGAGGTGTTATAGTATTCGCCCATCGTGGTGCTCCATCTGGGAAGAACCCTAGCCAGAACTTCCAAGAATATAAAAACTCTTAAGGCACTTTCATTCATGTCAAAGTATTCTTCTTACTTCAAGTATTAAAAATATGTAATGTATTTCTATCTCTACATCCCTTTGTGAAAGATCACCAAGGACCAAATGTATTTAATATCACATAAGACCCCTGGACCATGTAAAGGCATGACAGCATCCTCCTCCTCCTCTCTTATCTCCTATTAATCTCCATTTCAATTTGTGTACCCAAAAAACCTTTTATTCCTGCAAAGAAGCGCTTGCAGCAATCTGTAACCTTGAAGCACAGGGCACTAGGCAAGTCTACACACTGGACAGGACACCAGTTTATTACACGGCACTGCATATTTAACATGACTTTTAAACCTGGCAATGCAGGTGTCCTCAGTGGTTCGATAGCTGCTCAAATGATGTCCTCACCGTGGCAGGGCCTGTACTCTAAGGTTGCTGTGTAGAACTACAATATCCACTGCGATGTCGGACAAGAGGCAGCAAGGACAGACACTGAAGGCAAAGAGCCATCAGTCACGGGCACTGATCTCACATTAACGAGAACGCATGAATCTCACTCAGTTTCAAACCAACGTCTGTTGTTAGCCAACAGCCACAGAGCATTTGCCACCTCTCAGCCGGCTCTGGGACCTGCAATGAACAAACTCTTGACGGTCAAGTGACGAGAGCCGACACAACAAAGCCGCCTGTGGACTGATCTCCAAACTTGATGGTTTGTAGTTTCATACAAAGAAAGTGCTTATTGCTCCCCAGAGTGTATAGAGTGGTGATTAATAGTATAGGAATTAGTGGCCTCACTCATAACTCAGGCAATCTATTTGTGAGTCTTGGGGGGCTCTGCTCATGTTTCCCTTCACACATGGGTGAGCATCCCCCTGGATTCCCTCCATCAGTCACAGGAGCACAGTTTTCAAGTGCCAAGGAGCAAGGCAGAGCAACCTATAGAATTTTAAAATAGACAAGAACAACTACAAACAGCTTTCATTTACAAAGTGGCAAAGCATGTTATAGAAATGCTCCAAGGACAGATCACTGAAATGTACCATTAGTCTCTAAAGTCCAAAGGAAATAAAAGCAGGAATTTAACTTGGTTCTAAAAACAAAAATTGACTAATTAAATTTCAGGACAGGGTAACACAATTATGTTTCACATAATTTTTGGATATGATGCCTCCTTGTTCTCTGCAACAGATTTACCTTTTTAATGGTTTACACATTATCCTGTGTACTTTGGTCATTTACAGTAAAATCATACAAAGGGGAACTATCTTAAACTAAATGACTGGGAAATAAATACCAAATGAATAGTTGTTTCAGAACACCAGTTTTCCTTTTAAAACATTTAATTCTAATTTGCCCTAGTTAGTTTATTACTTAGTCTAATCTACTTTAATTCTAAGCTTCCCATGGTACATATTCCAAGCTTTATTAATCTTTAAGAAAATCAGACACTTTCTCTGGAGCTATAAATGTCCAGCGTTACATTTTGAATCATTATAGGGACATGGGAAGTCACTATTAAATTTTTTCTGAAGAAAGAAAAAGAAGAAATATTATAAAAATTGTGAAAATCAGTATTTTGAGGATTTTGAAGGGTGAACTTACACTCTGTAGTCTATGGAGCTGCACCTGACACTAAACGTCTCTCCTTGCACAACTAGGTGGTTTGCTGTGTGCTTTACATTCTTCTAAATTCTAATATCTATCACACAACTGAGCTCTTGGGTGTGAAATTACATGTGAAAATTTCTTAAAATTATAATTTCAGTGTAAATACAACATAACACTTCTTAAACGTCATAAATTCTGCTTGTTAATCTGTTATACAATCCCTTATTGTTCTTAGTACAATACAATCATTTACCAAAACTATCCTCCATGTATTACATGAGGTCGAAGTTCACATTCCTGAGAAACGGCAGTTGTATTAGTAACTCTTAATCTTCAAATGACAGAGCAGTGTTTTACACTTGTTGCAATCAGAAACTATGCACAGTTAACTCCTGGCACTCACCGAGCAGACAGAGGGTGTGCATTCCACTGGCGCGATTCTTCCTAATTTTATCATAAAAGCTCTCAGGCTTCCACGTGTCTGTCCAGAACACTATGGACACCGTCTCCCCAAAACTGTACAGCTGAAAAAGAGATTGAAGCATTCAAGATTAGGTCACACATCCTATTCCCTGGTGGTACACTGGACAGTGTTGTTTGAGTGCAGGAGTCAGGACACCCCAACGTGCAGCACACGGCTGGCACAGCCCTGCCAGGACTCTAAGAGGTGCACTGCTGAAGGCCGGGGGGGGGGGGGCAGGCATAATCACATCAAGGCCCAAACAAGATGCTTCCTGTTTTTCACCATCTTGGAGAAACACGTCAGCAAAATCCTGCAGTGCTTCTTCGACACTTCTATATATATCTATATATATATGACAAGAATAAACAAAACATGACAATGTAACTAAACTACTGCAACAGCCAAGGTTAACCTAGATAGATGAATACTGTCCAACGTCTATGTTCTCTTCTAGACTACAGTGTGGGGTGGTTCAGTGTAGATTCAACAATGCACTGAACTAAACCCAGATGTTACAGACTGTGTCTGAGGCATATCCCCCTTGGGACTGGCAATAGGAAAGCGCTGCTGACCATCACATTTAGATGACAAAAATAATATTTTCTTTTATTCCAGAATGCAAGATGCAAAAATAAAAGGTAGCAAATAAAATTAGGGGATTTCAATTCCCCAAGCATAAACTAGATAAGGCCTACAGGGAACTGCGCATCCGGAATTTAAATGAAGCCAATGACAAATGACCTCTAAATCAATCTGTCCAGGAATCCTGAAGAGACTTTGTAACAAGCAAGACCAGGTGAGGGACCCTATGGGGAGCAGAAATCACAGCATGTCATAATTGCAATCGGAATTCACATCTCTATAGCTTACATCTTTACTTTCGCTTTAGGAAAAGGAATAAAAGTGTATTTACGACAAGTAGAAAATGGACGGTCAGGTTTCAAGGACACAATGCCTGCTGTGAGTACAGGTTTACCCCAACAGACAGGAAACTTAAAGCTACACTCAGCAGGGAGAGCAGCACCTCTGACCTATCAGCAAAATAGTCAGGAGAAAGAAACTCCTTAAGGGCGTGGAAAAAGGAAATAAAGAAAGACAAAAGAGTACAGTAACTTAAAACCTAACCTTAAACATTAAAAAGGTTACACACAAAAAATACATACACATAATAAACACTAACAAACTGCAAGTCTAAGAGATGTTAATGATTTTAGTGCATATCTAGGAAAGGCACTGGCTATTAGATTAAATGCACAGAATATTCAGTTTATTCTGAAGTTCAATAAGAAATATAATGTGTAGATTTATACTTTTACAGAGATGTTTTTAAAGCTATATTATACAACTATTTATATCAGAACATCAGTTTAAGAGCAGTGTCTACTCCCCCTGGCACTCAAGTGGACATCTGACTCGCACTGTGACCTGGGTGCATCTCTCAACACCACTGCCTGTCACACTGCTCTGCTTTGGGACTTTTTACGACCACCGTCTGCCCAGTCACCCTCTTCACTTGTTTCAGCTGTCCCACATGAAAGGCAATCATGTCCCTTTAGGTATGCTAAACCAATATCCATGTAACACAACACCAGCCTCCCTTAGCTGGCATTCTAACATCAGACAGACACTCACCACAGAGCCATACAGGCTGGAACTGTGATAACTTATAGCCCCACACCAGGTCAAGCTACACAACCCTTTAATGACAAGAAAAGACTGCTGACTTTCTTCAGCAGGAAACTCCAATTCTCATTTTGCATTTAATACTGCATTTTCTTTTCTCAAATAAAGACACAACAGCAAAGGGATCAGAAACTGGTGGGCATATGAAGAAACTGGAAGACGTTAGTCCAGGCATGTTCCCCCTGGCAAAATCCTGAAGTGCAGCACCAGCCACAGAAAGAGGAGATCAAATTGCATAATGATCTGTTTCTTCATGGCAGGGATTTGGCATCTCAAAGACTAGCATTATCTTGACAAACAAGGCCCTGACTTTGCATTACAAATTCCATGTCTGCAGCCAAATGTTGAGGGAAGAAAGCAGCTCTGCAGACCAAAGCATATCATTCTCAGCTCTGCCAACTTTATTCTAACTCCTCAAATATGAAAGGAATGGAAACTGTTGACCTTCTATTCTTCAAAGTTGTGTGAACATTATGTTTTTAATACCATTTGTAACAAGATGTAGCTACAGAAGACTTTAAGTCCGCTCCCTTCTGCATTGTAACCATGAGCTACCCAAACCCTTTTCTTCTATGGTGGACAAAGACACAGGCACTAAACAATGGGATTACATGAGGCAAAGCCATTGGGTTTATTTTAGTTATAAAAAGACTCTATGATTTGGTCATTCACATCAATATATGTTTCAAAACAGATTGATATGACTGCACATTTATTTCTTGGAAAATTAGTTTCATTTTTTAAAATAAGACTCATGATATACCTTCTTTCTGCATGACTACACTTGAGGTCCAATCCATATAAACCCGATAGGATGTGCAGTGCTTCACACTAGGAATGATATTAAGCATTTTTGTAAGAATGTTTTAATGATTTTTTATGACCCTGTGCCTCAGAAACTAGGCAGTAACAATATAACACAAATCCAGCCTTTAAGAAAAGACAAGATTACTGTCCTGCAGTCAAGAACAAGTAGCGAGACTGAATAAAACAAAGATTATAGATTGCTACAGCTGTTTAAGTAACAGCTGACATCAGGTACAGGTCTTTTAAGACCTGCAAGCAATACTTTGCAAAGAGACTCAATGCTGTTGTTTGATGATGCTCATTAACATACATTAACCTAGTTTTGATTTTTAAGCCAGTACAACTTGGTTGTATCTTTTGGGTAATTATCCAGCTGGAAGATGAATCTCCCCTCTCTGTACGTTGCTACATTCATTTTTCCTTCTATCTTCACAAGTCTTCCAGGCCCTAAGGCAGTGAAGCTTCTGCAGCATGATACTACCATCACCATGTTCACAGAAGGGATGATGTTCTCTGTTACACTTGCGCAAAACATAGTGCTTACCACTGAGACCAAAAAGGTCCATTTTGGTCTTGTCATACTATTGAATCTTCTTCCACTTGGTCTCAGAGTCTCCCACATGCCTTCTAGCAAAATGTAGTTGAGATTTGATGCAAGTTTCTTGTTACACTGTCATGACTTCTAGATATATTTGGTTTCACCAGAGTCTATTTAGGTGCGTCATAATAAAGGGAGTGAATACTATGCAATCACTTATTGTCTGTTTTACATTTATTATTAATTTAGGAGGATTTATACACTTTTGTTTTCACTTTGACATTATAGAGTGTTTTGAATGATCAATGGCAAAAATTCCATATACAATGTGATTCTATATTGTAATACTGTAAAATGTGAAAAAGTCCAAGGAATGAGAATACTTTTAATAGTCACTGCAGAAACACTTTACTCCCGGCTACAAGTTTTTCAAGCTATTCTAAATTTTATCATAACACACATTGATTCTTCAGGGTACGAACATCGGAATCAAGAAATGTGTTGTATAAAAACACATTTTCGCGGACCAACTGGGTTCAGTGCTGCAGTACACCTTCATCCTGAGATTAGAAAGGGTTCTGGTGCTCTGGAAGACATCTTGCCTGGTGCCAGTACCCAAAAGGGGGCACCCTATAGTCTTGAATGACTACAGACCAGTGGCACTGACATCACGCCTAATGAAAACTCTGGAAAGGCTTGTACTGGACCACCTCAGACCCCTGGTGAGTACAGCACTGGACCCCCTGCAGTTCGCCTACCGGTCACACTTGGGAGTGGAGGATGCCGTCATCTATCTATGAGCTAACTCTCACCTGGAGAAGACGATGAGCATTGTTAGAGTTATGTTTTTTGACTTCTCCAGTGCCTTTAACACCATCCATCCACCATTACTGAGAGATAAGTTAAGGGCAGCGCAGGTGGACACTCCTCTGGTGTCCTGGATTATAGACTATCTGACCTGCAGGCCACAGTATGTACGGCTACAGAGCTGTGTGTCTGAACAGGTTGTTAGCAGTACTGGGGCTCCATGGGGGACTGTCCTTGCTCCATTCCTGTTCACCTTTTACACCTCTGAGGCATGTCACCTCTGAGGTGTATTAGAGAGGGGAAGGAGGAGGAATGTAGAAGCCTGATTACCAGCTTTGTGGAGTGGTGTCATCTTAACCATCTCCAGCTAAAAACCAGCAAGACTAAAGAAATGGTTATGGACTTACGAAGGAATAAGTCTCTGCTGAACCCTTTTTCCATCCAGGGTGAGGACATAGAGGGGGTGCAGTCCTACAAGTACTTAGGGGTACACCTGGATGTTAAGCTGGAGTGGTCTGGTAACACTGATACCCTGTACAAGAAAGGTCAGGGCGGACTCTATTTTCTTAGAGGCTCAGGTCCTTTGATGTGTGTGGAACACTGCTACACATTTTTTATGAATCAGTGGTGGCAGCGGCCATCTTCTACGCTGCTGTGTGTTGGGGCAGCAGCATCATGACAAGAGATGCAAATAGGCTCAATAAACTTATCAAGAAGGCTGGCTCTGTGTTGGGGCTGAGCCTTGACTCCATGGAGGTGGTGGCTGAGAGGAGAATGCTGACCAAGCTCACAGCCATCATGAACAACGCCTCTCATACGCTTCATAGGACTGTTATTGGGCAGCAAAGCACTTTTAGCAACAGACTGCTCCAGCTACGGTGTTCAAGGGAACATTTCCACAGGTCCTTCCTCCAGGCGGCTGTCAGGGTGTATAACGCTGCCCTAGGCTAGGACTGTTAGCCCTTCATTTGCTCATCTATGGACAGCATGTTGCTCTATTGTACTTTTTGGACACTCAATCTGTATATACCTATGCACATTTTGCACATATTTAATTGTTTTTACAGTGACTATGAGCATATTGTGCACACACCTATGTATTTATTTTTATTTATTTTGTATTGCTGTACATATTTTAATTTTTCGTCTATTTTGATGTCTGTTTTTTTTTTTTGCTCGTCTTGGGCTGGACTGCTGTAACACATCAATTTCCCTTCAGGATCAATAAAGTCTTATCTATCTAAAAGCTGAGCAGTTATTTGTATATTTTTCCACATCCTGTTATTTGTTGCATGATTGTTGCAGTGTTTTGGAAGACACCTACACTTAGAGCAATGATGGAGAACTCCAACAGAGCCTTTCAGGCAGTGAGAAATGTCCCACCTGCAGTCCACAGCACCCAACTGCATTCATGATCGAGGCATTGTGGATGACTCTGTGCTGCACACCGGCCTTCACCGCTCGCAAAACCAGGTCACTGTGGGTAGTTGCCCTGCAGAGAAGAACACAACAAATGTGAATCTTAAAACTGAAACCCTGTTCCAAAGGATCCCAATACACAGCAATTGATCAGGTTCCAGCTTTATAAGCTAATGGCTTTAATAAAAGACAAAACTAGGAGCTACATGTTTAAAGCATGTTATAGTGTATAGCTACCTGGTGAAACTGAAATTATTTTAGTTATGCTGCTGTTTCACCAGAACAGCTTGCTCAAGGATACATTAGCAGTGTCTCACCTGGGTTTTGAACCCACAACCTTCCAGTTAGGAATCCAGAACCCTAATTGCTGCCTGCATACTCTGCCCCTTATCATACCAATGTGTTAATGTGGAAGGCCCTGTGGTAACCAGAGGAGCAATGCCTGATAAAATTGTGAACATGGATCTGTGCCTTGCAAAAGTATTCACCCCCTTTCGGACAGATAATTCCAACCACAAAGCATTCATTTTGAGCATTTAAGTTTTGTTAAAAAATATTTAATTTGAAAAATCACTTCACTTGCAGTTGCAGCTGTATATTTCATTGGCAGTTCAATACAAATGGACATCATTGGAAGCAAGTGAATACTTCTGCAAGGCACTAGGTGTGTTTTGTCAAAAATAATTTAACAATACAATATAGATCCTTTCAACTGCTTTTGTCTTTACGGCTAGCAACTAAAGAATTTCAACAAAGCACTGACCATATTTTGCTATGAAGTTTGTGTTTTACTGAAAAAAGTGGATGAAGCAACATATGTTCTAACACAGATTTCCCACCAAAAAATCATCCTTTCCCATTGAACTGTCTTGCCACGTTTTTGTACAAAGCACGTTTTTTGGGAAGAAGTGCAACAGAGATGCTGTGGAGGCATGAGCAGTGTACTGTGTTTTCTGTGTGCTCTGAAAGCTGGATACGGAAGGAAATACCAGAGCCCTTTTCTATTGCAGCTCTGTACTGAGTCCAGGAAAAAAATATTTTGGTCTTTATACTGGCATTGCCTTTCATGCTGTCATCATTTAGTACCAAAAAAACACAGAACCAGAGGAAATCCGCCTTGAAATAAAGTGCCTGTAGCATTCAAAACCTCAACACCAGAAACCAATTCAACTTCTTCATTTTCAACATCCATTAATAACACAAATAGGGAAAAAAGCATACGTTGGGTACTGTTCAACGGGGACTATACACAGCTGCAAAAACAACAGTCTTGGATGTTCTCAACACTGTTCTATACCCAGTACTGGCCCAATAAACATTCTATGTGATAACCCACGGGATATTGGAGGACTGGGCTGTAGTTCAATGCAGCCAAAAGGCCAATAAGGAAAATGACCTCCCATTTTGTGTCCTTGTGAAACTTTCTACCTCTACACCCTGGAATTTTGCCTTTACATTCAACTCTCCTTCATGCTGTAAAAATAAAAAAAGTACCTCGGTACCCTGTGTGCCAAGTACCATCGTGCTCTCTGGGTAATCCTGTGCCTGTGGTCACACATACCCCTTTAACTCCATGTTTTGGGGTTAAAATGCTGCTGTACTCAAGGTTGCTATTTTTCTTTATATCATGAGTACCCTCCCCAAAACAAGGGAAAAAGTCTTCTTCATGGCTGTCTTGCTCAACTGTTACCTCTGAGAAGATCCCTCAATATATGTCTTAGTTCTGACCATCCTACTCATGCACTAGCTTGTCGTGTTTGACCTACAGGTACTCAGACCTTCAATGCAGGGCCTTGTTATAACAAAACTCTCCAAGGTCCCTCTGACGCAGCTTCAGAAGACCTGATTGCCTCTTCTTTGCCACAGCACACCCACCAACCACCACCTTCTATTGACAATGCTGCAGCTGGTGCTGGAGACCATTCAGTCCAGCTCTGTATTGAAATTCAAGCTTATTCCTCCTTCCTTCAGTGCTCTGGACACAGACATGCTTTGTCCCAAGTGAACTATTCTAGAAAGTCCTAAACCAACCCCCAGCCACCCCTGTCTGGTTTGTGTAACTACAGCAGATCCAGAATAGCTGGGGTAAGGAGATCCCTCTCCTTGCAGACCTGGTGTCTGCATGAGGGTCAGGACCCTGTCCATCTCCAAACCGCAGCAATGACTCCTCTGTCCTCTGGGGCTGCCTAATCTTTGTCCACAGAGCCCTCATTCTGGCTCTTTTCAGTCTTCATCAGGAGAAGACCTTTGGTTTCTGTATCTAAAAACTGCTTTTTTGCTGGTTATATTCTTCACAAAAAATCTGAAAGATTTCCATGTACACAATTATCTGTTATTCTGGTGAGGGAATGTTGCGGCACCCTAATCTGATGATAGGCCTATCCACTGTATGTCCTACAGGTCATCTGCCCCTCCATGTTAACCCATTCCAGTGGCCATCTGTTTGTTCTTCGAAATGAAAGGGAACTTCATTTGTTTGTGCCTGTAACCCTGCCTCCCTGAAAGAGAAGAAAAGCCACCAAGCTCCTCACTTGGCAGACCCTTTGCAATTTCATCAGTGAAAGAGGAAGAGAAGGAGAGTTATTAGTCCTGTACATCCTCAGGGTGAATTACATTTAATAAAAGACCAGGCATATTCACTGTGTGGGAATCAATACCTCAGCCACAGATTTGAGCCTAAGTTTTACAACTGCAGAACCAGGATTTTGCTTGTACATATTTTAACTCCCATTCTTCTAAAAATGTCTAAACTTAGCAAAGCCTGTCTCACTATAGGCAGAGTTAAACCTAAAGTAACAAACATAAATTCGCAGGCCTTTTATCAAGGATAGTTTGGGTATTTGGGTACTTGTTCTGATGTGTTTTAAAGGAAGGGAATTCTTATTGGAGATTAAAGAAGCAACAGGTCCTGGCTGACCATTCCTACCACTGTTTCAGCCTGTTATTAACTGTATTTAAAAAGGGCTCCTCAGCATACTTCAGCCCTGACAGAACACGAGAAGCCAGCTGTTCTTCTGGATTTCGTGGTTTGGATGAAAAAGAGCTGAACCAAACACTTCTGACAAACTTGAGCACAAGGTCCTCAGCCTGTCATTAAGCCTGCTTTCATAGATGGGCCCAATAGAAGGCTTCTGATTGTTTATACAGGATTGTACTTAAGCGCAATGGCATTTTTCTTTCCTCTGGCCAGGACCAAGTGCTATTGGACAAGAAAGAAACTGCTGTGAAACCACTTACATGTTCAGCACCATTTTGTTCTACACAGCCCTAACTAATCCTTTAACAATCTTTAGCACATCTGCATGTTATTTTTCCATTTTGTTTCCTTTCTTATCCTCTTAAACCTGAAAGTTAGATTTCTAATGTTGATGCTTTGCAAGTACATCCTAAGTACTGCAGCTTACTTATTCAAGCACCTTGTCAATTATTCAAGCACCTTTTGATTGTTATGTATAGGATGACTGACTGCAGTTATCATATAAAATTATTATATAATAAATAAATGTTGTATTTACATCTTAATTACAGAAGGAACTTTGGAAAATATGTTTTCACATACAACTGATATTTTCTGTGTATGGACAAATTTGTTTGCAGGCCAACGGATCTTAAGAAAGTATAATAAATAGCACTCTTATGAGAGGACTTTACAATGTACCACTTCATTATAAATTTTGTCTTGGTAATGCAAATTCTTTAACACTCAATTTTCATAAAATAGAATTGGGTGTTATTGCTACTCTATTCTATAAAGCTCCTGTCTTCGGGGGATATTACTACAAAGAACTGGATAAGATTCTCAGATTAATTAGCTACTAGCAAATCAGAAAAGGAAAATGGACTGAATGGTCTCTTCTCATTTGCAGCTCTTGTTTTCTGACCCCATACATGAATAAAAACTTATCTTCTTCTTGTTCCTACAATATACCACAGATCCTGACCTTTTTAAAAAATGTTCTTTCTGCAAACTAACCTCTCATTCCCAATTTGATCATCAATGCTGTGGAAAAAGTAGCCAGGCATGAACATCTGGGGAGAGTTAAGACTGCAGCCAATGCAATTTAAGAAAAACCAAAAAAGCCCCTTGCCAACTTTACCCAAACGGGTCTCCAACCACCAGGAATGCCACGTCACTGACATCCGCCCCCTTCAGAATGCCATCTGCCTCCTGTTCCACCATGTCCCTGTCCGCCAGGATCAGCTCTCTGCCGTAGTATTCCTCCTGGAGAGTGAGCACACAGAGGTACCTGACTAGTAGTGCAAACCAGAAAGCCTATAAACCTGTCAGACACCACTGGTATAAAATAATCCCACACATTTGGAAGGACAGTAATCAAACCAAGGATGGGCATCTGCCACTCTGGGGGCCTGGATGGCTCTATTATTTTCAGCCCTTCTTTTGCTTTGAAATTACTTCAAAACCAGGAAAAACACTTAATCTTTATCAGTTACTAATGGAAGAACACATGGTCTTTACAAAACTGTTCATTAAATATTTCTACTATGTTTCTGTGTCTGCATATTTTCTCAATACAAATTAACTATAAAATACACATAGCTGAAACCACCTGGTCTAGGTCTGTTCTCCAAAGCTAGAAGAAACAAAATGGACAAGATGGGCCAAATGAGCCCTTTAATTTACAAATGTTCCTTGATTCTAACAGAATAAGATATAAGTACTTTAGTAAAACTGCATAAAGGGATGTAAACAAATATATTACTCTAAGTGTCTCTCCTTCCCCTAGATCCAACATTTAAGTCAGGCTGAACTAACTCTAATATCAGTATTATGCCTGTTTATTGAAAACCAAACACCACAACACAGCGAGCTATTCTGAATAAGACCAGAGGTCTGCAAGACTGAACCTCCTTATGCATGCTTAACACACATCCATAACTGAGACTGGACTGAGCATAATTCACCTGAGCATCGTTCATCTAGATTTTCTGACAATGCTCTACCAGACTCAGCTCTTGAAGGATGTCAGAGTTTATGAGCTTGATCTTGCTGATGTGTCAACAATAAACTAAATAACTAAACTAAAGAAGTATAATGAACATGTCCGCAAAAGGCATTAGGCATGGTCTTGCATTTTGAGAAATTAATACAATTGGGAGAATGTTGCAATCTATACATTTTATTTCACGTTTCTAAGCATATACCCTAAACCTAAAAAATTTCATAACATCATTATTTGACTTTAACTTTAAACCAAACTTCAGAGCAAAAGGAAACTTTAAATTTACCAGGCGATCCTTAATTGGATCAGCTTACCTAATATTGAAATTAAGAAAGTGAAATATGTATCTATAATTTATTCACTTTGTAACTGTTTAATTAAACTTCGATTCCCTTCAACAAATTCAGAAGAATGTATAAATAACTGGTACTTATTTTTTAAGCACCTAATCACAATCAGCACATTATATTGAAAACACATAAAAACAACATACCAACGCTTCCTTCCCCACAGTAAGTATAGACGTGTAAGCTTCCAGATAAACTCGACTGCACTTTCTAATAGTCTCTAAGCCTTTGACTGTGATATCTTTAGCATCTCCTAAACCCAATCCTATGAAATACAGCATTTTGACATCGGATATCGTTCAGTTAATAACAGATATTTGTAAGATGTTGGTGAGATAAAAAATAGTAACAACTAGTAAAACGCTAACAATTATTTTAAAGCAACGCGGCGTTTCTGCCTTTTACATGAATAGAATGACTTGTATTAATACTTTGACGACGGATGTTCAGAAGAAAAACTGCTGTAATTCATTTACAGGAACGCAATCCACAACTGAACACGTACAGATTCAGCCATTCATTCAATCTTTTCCGAAATCCACTACATCGCTTAAAAAAGCAATTAAACTACAAAAAGGTTCAACCACGATATAAACGAGTCTCCGTTTCTTAACATCCTACACGCAGTGCAACACACAACATGCTTTCGCCGCACTGTAATACGACCGCCGCAAACTCGCTCGTTTTACGACGGTTTGCGACAATTCTATATTTCCACATCGTTAAAGAGCAGTGATTTGTTATTTTTAGGAGTTTAACTGGTTATGCACGCATGGTAAAGCATGACCGCCAAGGTTCCCTGGAAGCTTGTGTGTCCCACAGTCCCTCTCTCCAATGGTCTTGAGATTCCAATTCTGGGTTTGGGTGAGTACAGTACAGACTGCTGTCAGTCACACACCGCTACAAGTACAAAACTGTTTATTGCACAAGTACAAAGTCCGTTTCTGTTAATTTAGCACGTGTGATCTTTTGTTATAACTACATTATATCCAAGTGATATTAAAACTTTAATATTAAATTTAATGTTATATCAGTAAAAGGACAGTTAGAGAATGCTGTTATTTTTTAAATTGGAAATCGTTTTCTGATATGAAATAAGACAACTGTTGGTTAAATGTAGACATGATATTAAGAAAACATCTCTGATATCATAATAGCAATTATTGGTAGTCAAAGCTTAAGGACTATTTTCATATATTAAAGTACTGTACTCCCCAGCACAGCAAAGTTTGTCTCTTCATCTGACATGGGAAAAACCCTGCTGTTATGACATAAAAAGCATGGTTAGGAACTATAAAATTATAACCTTAGAAATCTGAATGGCACTTACTGTCTTTATGTTACTGTTTTATTAAGAAAATGTAGGCTTAGCAGACCTCAGCAGTTTTGACACACTTAATTAATGTAGTTTATGCTCAGCTGGGAGGAATGTAGCCGCTCAACAGCGGCATAGGAAAGTAAAACCAGGAAAATTATTAGCATTGTCAGTTGGTACTTATTGAAACATTTTAAGAATGTCTTATTTTTTTAATTACACCAGCCAACATCAACATCATCATCTAAAATCAGTGCTGATGAGTACAGCTTTAGGAAATCGTAAAATCCAAGACACCCTGACCTGTCACATCTATACAAAAGAAACAGGGAATGCACACAGAGGGGAGGTAAAATGGTTGTGCCAGGCCCACAAAATATGTTGCACTGAAATAAAAAAAACATCTTGAACATTTTCTCTGTGAATAACTGTGTAATCAAAAAACCCGATTTCAGGATTATATTTTGATTAATTTCTCTCTTATAATAGGGAAACACCCTATTATAAAAGAGAAATTCATCAAAATATAATCCGTCATAGAAGAACAGATGTCTTTTCAAAGACCCAAAATACAGGGCCTCACTATTAGAGGTATAGATAGTGTAGTGTGCACAAGAAATAGGGATACAGTGTGTAGCGTGCTGCTTGCCTGGGTGTGGATTAAAACTGTACAAGTGTAACAGGTTGCACTTGAACCAGGGGGGTACTGGTGTATGTGTTGAGTGGTGGACTAGTATTTAAAGTACACAACCGCAGGGCAGGACGCTCCCAACTGGCCAACTCAGATGAGATCTGGAAAGACCTGGACATCAAAAGAACAAGTTTAATGCAAAGAACACGTCTATTCTTAAATGATCAGAATTCAATTCTAGGAGCACTATATAAGGTAGTAAAACAGAACAGAACAGGACAGAAGTGTACTACATTAATAGAAAACATTGTGAGTCATTGTGCGTGGAACACAGACAGGGCTGGGGGAGGATGGCAGGGCTGAGTATAAAATTATGGAGTGCACATGGTTCAGAAAGACAGGCAGGATGAATGGGTTGGTGGGATACAGTAGGTCTACAGTATATATCAAATATAACCTTCAGTAAAGAGACCAGCAGCATGAGGTTGTGGACATTTTGGAATCTATATGGGCTAAACTGGGAAATATAAACTCTAAGGGCTTAACACTAAATGAATAACCACTTTATTCCAGTCCTGTTTCTCTTCTCTCTGTCCCATTGTCCTCAATATAATACATGAATCCTTGAGCTTTGGCATTGTACCAACGGTCCTCAAAACTGCTGCTATT